GTGGTCCCCATGTGTGTGTGTGTGTGTGTGTGTGGTCCCCGTGTGTGTGTGTGTGGCTGTGTACTGGCTCCCCAGCTTGTCTGTCACTTCTGTTGAGCCACGGTCCCTTGTCCTGTAATCTTGAAATGCTATAGCGCCACCTGCCACCCCCCAGGCAGTATTGACCCACCACCCAGTGCAACTGTGAATGTAACCCCCCCCATCGAAGCCGGATTTGCATGAAGCCGTAGCGTGGCCACCTTGCCAGACCGCAGTTGGATACCTACAGTCACCATTTTCCCCAAAGGCCCCTCATCCTGTGTACTGAGCCACTCAAACACACCCGATCGTGGTAACATTAAGCTAGCTAGCCCATAGTCAGACATGACACCCGGCTTTGACTTTCCAGCTCTGTGCTCCTAAAACAGTCATTACTGTGCAATATATTGTATGTAAGAATGTACATAGTGTAAATAGCCTATGGTGTCTGTAACATCCTTCACTTTTTGTCAGGTATAGCCGTTCTCTTTAGTGACGTCTTTACCAGCTCTGATTTTGTTTTCGTATCCTTGTGTTATAGTCTTACACTGAAGACTATTATATATGTGGCATGTGACCTTAGCAAAAACAAAAAAAACAAAAACTCCAAGCTGAAATAAAGTTTGTCCTCTGAAAGTTTGTTTTGTATTCAAGTGAAGATCAGCCGTCTAAGTGACTGGCACGTTGGTCAGGGGTTAGAAAAATTGCTGAGAAGTTTTCACTTATCGGTTGTCCAACCAACAAAATAATCTGGGAAGTAACTGAGTTGCAACGGTATGTTTCGAGGGGGGGTGTTCATAACCACGAGAGCTGCAGTGTCCTCATAGGGGTTAAAAGAGAGAAGAAAACTTCACAGTGTTATTCAGCTTGTAGTTAAAATTATTTGTACATGGATTGTTTTCAAATTAGATAGCAGTGAAGGTGAATTGATAGTCATGTAGAAGAATGTTTCCCAATCCGGTCCTCGGGACCCACAGCCGGTCCAGTTCGCGTTTCTGCTCCCTCCAAGCCCCCGGTAAGACACGGACTGCTGTGGGTCCCTGAGGACCGGCTTTTTAAGAATTGACCTGTACAGTCCTGAAGACCTTCTTCCTGGGCCCAAAACCTGCCCAAGTGAAATACATTGTAACTAAGTCTTGGTAACTTGTCCTTTTGTATAATGTCAGTGCTGCATAATGTTTAAATGTAAAAAGAAAGTGAACTTAATATTTAATATACTTGCAATATTTGTAAAGTTCATATGCTGTTTTCACTGTGGTCAAGTCTTTCAAAATATGTGTATTTCTGCTTTCCGTCAGAAAAATGAGTATGACGCATATGTGATATTTTGGAATCAACAGTGATATCTTTTTTTTTTTTAGTTTCTATACTAAATTACAGGACATTTTCAGTTTAACAGGGTGACTGTCAAAATATAGTGGCAGTGTTTATTTTAACCTGATATGGTAAAGTTTTTCATATATTCTTTGAAAATTATAATTTTTCATGGGCAATATGCCTACCAAGAACAGAGAATGATAACAGTATGCCAGGGAAAACTATGCTGTTCCTTTCTTAAAATGCATTTTCCATCAGTGTACTATAACTTGAATTAAAAAAAAACCTAAATAAAAATATGTGTATATTAACAAGGTTTTCATTGAATTAACAGCCGGCCTCGGTTCATCTTTGTGTGTTTTTTGATTGTAAGATGCTGGAAAAACCATAAAGGCCATCACGCAGATAACGTTCATGTTAATAAAGAATCTCTAAGCATCTTCTGCTTTTGATTCCGTTTCACAGAATTATTTTCCGTTTTTCTGCATGTATTGTTGCCTCCCCCTAGTGGATGTACAGAGTAATTCATTTTTCATATAACTTCGTCTTTCTCAGTTCATCTATTGTTGGATAATAAGCTTAATTTGAATATAACATTTTATTTCAATTTGTGCGCTCTGATGGTAAAAGCAGTGAAACACATCTTCTATTGTGGACTTTATAACCCATAAGTCTGTTTTTTTTCACTCATAAATGACAAAGAAGCCAGTAGCTGCAAACATGGAAAAGGATTAGGAAGGGAAACTGGGATAGATGGTCCAATACTTGGGATAGCAGCATAAATAAATAGTGATAAATAAACACAAAATCATATTTCTGCTGTCGCAGAGAGGTGAAACCTGGCTTTCATGTAATGAGAATTGACACCAGCACCAGGCCACTTGTATGGGGAACAGTTCCGGTCTCATGTGTCTGTTTCTAGTCAGTACATACTTTTGTTACAGTACAAATAAATTAACATTCATTTACAGGGCATCAGACGCACTAACACACGTTGAAGGATCGGTACAGTATGTTAGAGAAGGTGTTGATATAGATCTGGGGCAGGCCGGGACGGCAGGCCGGGACGGCAGCCCGGCGGAAGCCTCCAGAAGGAGTTAAAGTCCATCCCACGGGTGTGTGAGAGTGCTGGGGCAGATCATGTTCACCCCTGCCCGTCCCGGCCATGTCCAGTCCAGCATCTAGGCCACTACTCCAAGCTCCTCCTGGCTTCGAGGCAGTGACCCCGCTTAGGGTTTGTGCTTGAAGTGGGCCTCAACTGCAGAGAACAACAGCACAGCTCCAAAACCCACTCAGCCTGCCACCATGGCCATCTGAAAAACCTCTACAGAAATGCCTCCCAACCCAGTCCTCAGTGACCTGCATCAGTCCACATTTTTGCTCTCTCACGGCTTCCAGCATGCCCATACCAGGTATTTAGTGTTCCTGATTGGTTGGGAGCTGGGCGGGAACAAAAATGTGGGCTATCTGAGGGTCCCTGAAGACTGTGTTGGGAAAACACTGCTGTAAAAAACAGGCTGAAGCTACCAGTCAGCACTAAAGTACACGAGTGACTGGCAACGGCTGTATTACTGAGTGAAGCTAGGACAGGGGGGGGCAATCTTATCCGCAAAGGGCCGGGGTGTGTGCAGGTTTTTGGGGTAACCTGTAGGTCAGCTGGTCACCCAGGTGTGAGGACTCGTCAGCCAATCAGTCCTCTAATGAGTAATCTAAACCCACATACACAGCGGTCCTTTGTGGATAAGACTGGCCACCCCTGGGCTAGGATCTGTATAAACCGTGTAGTGCTGCTTCATTTCGGAAGCCTGTGTGTGCATGGGCCTGTGCGTACCTGCGTACTGCGGCAGCATGGGCCTGTGCGTACCTGTGTACTCCTGCGTACTCCTGCGGCAGCATGAGCCTGTGCGTACCTGCGTACTCCCGCGGCAGCGTGGGCCTGTGCGTACCTGCGTACTCCCGCGGCAGCGTGGGCCTGTGCGTACCTGCGTACTCCTGCGGCAGCATGGGCCGGTTGATGACCATCAGGAAGGCGGCGATCCAGTCACTCTGCTCTGCCTCCGTCTCGCATGTGAACAGGAAGTTCCTCTCCGGGGTGACGATGGTGATGCCGTATGGCCAGCGGTTGCCCTGCGTGGAGGGGGGCAAGCCCGGTAGCAAGCTGTAGCTGTTCTCCTTGCTCCCGATGAATACCTCCCCTCTGGCATAGGCGTCCTAGTGGGGGGGTTCCAGACCATGAGCCCAGTGTTTTTGAGGTGAAATCATATTTTGCATTAAAATGAGACAAACACACATGTGCATGCGTGCATGTCTGATAATCACAAACAAAATATGGATTTTTGTCACCTTAATACTGGACAGCCTGAGCATAACACTTAGTGCAAAACATCTTTTAAAAATTCCTGTCTACAACGTTACTGGTGCAATTACTTTTTGCAGAAGTGGCTAAGAGCAATGAAGAGGAACTGCTGAGGTCCAGTTTTAGGCACAGTTATGGCAGGGTGGGCAGGGCGACTCACGCCCAGAGAGGCAGCTTACCAGGGGATCTTTGAAATACATCAAGCGCCGGTCGTCCATGGTGAACCACCTCTTTTTGAAGCCTTCCGTGTGCTGCAGGAGAGAGAGACGGGGTAGCTACTGCCATTGAGCCAGGTTTAACCATGTGATGATGCAGCCACTGTGAAACTGCACAGGGAGCACAGGCAGTTGCCACGGAAACAGTGCACAGGCAGTCGCCACGGAGACGGTGCACAGGCCTTATTTCTCCTGACTTCACAGGAGTTATACCTTCATTTCTCACACATATTTTTTCTCTGTGATAATAACACGCATAACCACCTCCTCAATTATTAATTCAGTGACCTCTCTTTGTGCATCAAACTACATTCCATTACAGTACCTCAAGAAGTCATTAAAAAAAGATGAAATATTCAAACCTTTGGGCCTGTTTTTTCCATGAAACCTTCTTTCATGTAGTTCCGTGTCAGTTTTGGCACTAGCTGAGAATAGGAAAACGAAAAAAAATAAAAATAAAATAAAATATTTTGCGAGCTGTAAGTGGGTATATATATTCACTGATGATTAATTACTACCGAAACCAAAATGAGTGCCGCCTTTCATCACTGCCTGGCCTTAACACCAGTGACTGAACAATGTCCTGCGCAGTGGACAACACGAGACAGTGAGTGTGGGAATAGCAGGAGACAGAGGGACGGGGGAGAGACTCACTTCAGACTCACTGGCCCCTGGAAAGGCCACCTGCAAGTAGTGGAAGCGTGCGGCTCTGACGGCGTTAAACCAGTCCACGATTTCCTGCCGAGACACAGGAAGACAGGAATCAGCCTCCATCAGGTGGGCTTTAGACAGCAGAGCAGAACAGCCAGAGACGGCACAAACTGGGCATAAACGATAAGATACTCATCAGGGTGGCATTTTCCCTGCATCACACGTCTTTATTCTACTCTACGGATAGCTGTCACAGTAACACCAACCAAACGAAGCAGGACAGGATACACAGGAATGGATTAGTAAAGATGGGGCAGAAAAGCACAGAGATATTGAACTGGTGAAGCTAATCCACAAGGCTCCCAGTCAGAAATAGGACGACTGGGAGCCCAAATAGAACGAAAAACAATGAAGCTCATGATTTGCTAGGGAAGTGCTGTGTGCAGTACAACCATTTTGTAATGTCTTCTAAAAACCCAGTGAGCACACACGACAGGAAATGAATGAAGCAACATTTTTGACCAGGCTAACCGACATAAGTAACTGCTGAGATCTGACCTTTCCATCCTCGTGGTAGACAAAGATGTTCCTGGTGCTGTTGTCCTTCAGGTAGGTGATCTGGAGGCCGTGAGGGTTTCCGATCTTGCTCGGCTGGAAGGTGGCATTGAGGGTCTGGATCTTCATGATCGCCTTCGGCTCTCTTGCCTGGAGTTGTGAGTGCAGTGGGTCACGCCAGGAGGCCAGCTTTGGTGAGCAGCAGGATGTGTTTTTTCCGTGAAAATCTATGCTTTCTTCACATCCATTTTTTCCCTGACAGGTCTCAAAGTAATGACAAACACCCCACGTATGTCTTTCTTCGTGCCTGGAAAACAGTCAGTTTCTAGTCCACATCCTAGAAGTGTCCTGTGCCTTTAAATGGACATGAAGACACATTACTCTTTTGGGGGGGGATAGGGGGTGGTGGCACGGGAGAGCACCATCTAGTGGGGAAGACGAGTCCTGCATATGAGAAGGATGGGGGGTGGGGGGGGGGGCTACTCACATCATGCTTGTTGAAGTACTTGAGGACTCCTTCCCGCTCGGAGAGGATAAACTTTCGATTGAGGAACTGACCATTATCGCGCCCCCGTTTCCAAAGAAACCCTTCTCTGTATCCTATGAAGAAAAGAAACCACAAGGGTGTGTTACTGATGAAGAAGAAGGGAGATGTTAGCCGGTGGCTTCCCTCCAGCAGCAGCTGGGGTCTGTGCACCTGCTCAAGTGGATCGTGATTGTACCTTAATGACATCCTCCGGGCTTCTGCATATTAATGGGGAATCGCTTCTTTTTGCTGTAAATACGTCTCTGCCACCAGTCCCCGTGAGGACTGGCGAAGCTTTGAAATGAGGCAGCGGGCAGATTACCAAGCAATAAATCGATTAGTGGGGCTCTGGGCACGTGACTGATGGGAAAAGGAGTGGCATATCACCATGGCGACCTCACCGACCAATCACATCCTGCGCAGTAATAAAATTCACCCTCCTCTCCCCCTACCCCATGGCCATGCTTTAATTACCAGGAAAGGATAGTTTTTAGCTGCAAACTCATCTCTAATAGCCCAGCCTGCATGCACTTCCAGGACATGCTGACAAATTACTGCCTACTGATGCTGGAAAAATCCTAGCCTGTATCATCCCCCGTAACAGAGCATCAGACCACGACCAACACGTGCCAGTCAGCTAACATAATTCCTGGGGTGAGGTACAGAACATCATTCCGGAAATCCTCACGACATCGTGAGCCATTTTTAAAATCAGTTTAAATCCCCAAGATTGACTGTAGATTGTCAACACCGTCTGAGTCCAGTCGCCCCATTACTTAGAAAAAACTTTTTAATCTTCTCTGACTGTGCTCAATCCAAAACAAGCCCCTAAGAGTCTGAAGGGGCGCTGGGATCAAGTCACTTCTGTTTTGTTCTCTGTGACACACACACACAGACGCACACATACGTGCATGCACATACACACACACACACACACACAGACGCACACATACGTGCATGCACACACACACACACACACACACACACACAGCACTTTACAGCCCCACTCATCCCCTTACAGTCTTGACAATAGGCATGATACCCCCCCATATGCTTGTGCCCCCAGCACAGCCTCCATATGCAAAGACCAAAGAATACTGATGTACTTTTACAAATGCCAAATAAAAGTATTACTATTATTAAGTAACCCTGGGTGTGACAGCTACATTTCAGAACTTCATAATAAGTAGTAATTCTAACTAGTATCTGCATCGTGCCTCTTGCCCCCCCTGCTTCCCCACCCCACCCCACCCCAGCTCCTCCTGGAATGAAGCTACAGAGCTACAGAGCCCCGGCCCCATCTGACTGACGCCGCCCTCATTTATTAGGCATGTGGAATGTCCGGGCAGGAGCCGAGCATGCTGGGAAAACGGAGATTCCGCTCTGTGATAGGTGGACCTCTGCTGGCTTCCTTGGATCATTTTCCTCTGCATCTGTATCCCGACTAAGTCTGCATGAATGAGGTCTTACCTGCTTCCCCCAGATGAACTGACCAATTTCAACAGATGAACTGAAACAGTCCCAGTACACAAAAAATGGACATTTTCACAGCTCTAACGATACCACCTGTGTCTCACTGAGACTCTGGGAATCTGATCGACCAACATAAATGCCTTTAACCAACCAGCTGAGTATCTGTGACCATCTAGGGAATGTTTCAGCATGTTCCCATCCCAAAAATTTAATGGAATTTTATTTAATTTCATTTATCCATGTCACATTTTAAACAGCAACTGTTGGCCAAAGTTGCTGTACAGCCCTCAGGGAAAGTCAAACGAAAGAGACAAATAATATGCCAGTAAATACACAGAATTACTATCAAACTGAATGATCTACAACAATGCTCAGGAAATGCTGCGTGCAAAGCATGCTGGGAATAGAATCCCCCCCAGCGGTCAGCGCGGGTGACCATGGCTGACGCTAACAGAAACAGCCCCCTGAATATTGCTGAGGGAAACAGACTCAGGAGGTTTATGCTGACATGGCCTGTTTTACCTACCTCCCCCCCCCCATCCCCCAGTGCCATGACAGAGTGGCAGGACTCCGGGGGGGCAGATTCGTTCAGACGTCCAAAAACCCCGGAGAGCTACGATCATGGAGTGTAAAAAGTGACAGCGGTCAAACTCTTCCTTTTATAAGCCACCCCCACGGGGCTGAGGACTCCCCTTACGATGTGCACAGATGGACAGACGGACATCTTTTTGTAGACAAGAGATTTCATTTTATATTCCCAGGTCAAATGCGGCTCCTATAAATGCCTCACTGGATTCAGCTGTGACACTGGACACTGCCATAAACCACTGGGCTCAGATGCCACGTTCAGGTTCTACAGTATACAGAAGAATGTTTTCACAGCACTACTTATAAAATGTAATGACTTCTACAGGCATATTTGGACTCATCAGTATAAAATTCTATTTGATTCAATTTTATATGTGAGGCGCTTTTTCACAACATTACGTCTCCTCTAAGCGCTTTACATTACCCCTGCCCAAAGCCCCCAGTGAGCAAACCCTAGAAGGAAGAAACCTTGGGAAGAGCACGTTGTGTGTTAGGAGACATCCCTGATTATTCTGTAAACTTTAAACTGAAACCACCGCCTTTGCAACTGAAGTAAATGTAATGTTCTTTGTTGGGGGTGGGGGGTCACCTCCCCCACGAGGGCAGGGGTGTGGATCAGGCCAGGGGTGTGGCCCAAGGGCAGGGGTGTGGTCCCATGGAAGGGGTGTTGGCCCGAGGGCAGGGGTGTGGTCCCATGGCAGAGGTGTGGTCCCATGGCAGGGGTGTGGTCCCATGGAAGGTGTGTGGTCCCATGGAAGGGGTGTGCTCCCATGGCAGGGGTGTGGTCCCATAGAAGGGGTGTGGCCCGAGGACAGGGGTGTGGCCCGAGGGCAGGGGTGTGGTCCCATGGAAGGGGTGTGGACCGAGGGCAGGGGTGTGGATCAGGCCAGGGGTGTTGGCCCGAGGGCAGGGGTGTGGTCCCATGGAAGGGGTGTGCTCCCATGGCAGGGGTGTGCTCCCATGGCAGGGGTGTGGTCCCATGGAAGGGGTGTGGCCCGAGGGCAGGGGTGTGACCCGAGGGCAGGGGTGTTGTCCCATGACAGGAGTGTGGCCTTGGCCATGAACGTCAGCCTGCTCACCTGTGGAGTACGGCTCCTGCTTGTCGACGCAAACAAACTCATTCCTTTCATATCTGGCGCGGACCCACTGCTCAAGCAGGACACTGTGGAAGAAAATGAGGGTGGTACGTTAGGACCTCAGCACATCAGACGGACACCTGAAGGCAAACGCACAGAAGTGCACGCACACGCACACGCACACACACACACACAAACAGTCACACACACACACAAACAGACAGACACACAGTCACACACACTCTCTCTGTCTCTCTCTCTGTTCGTCCTTCGTGGTCGAAGATGACCATGGCTCCAAGTCATATGGAAGAATGGTGGCTGTGGGTCCGAAGGTGGCTGATGAGGCCAATCCGGGCTCGGAAGGTACGCCCACACGTGGGACACACGTGGGCGGGTGCTGAGGTGGAGGTGGGGGCAGCTCTGGCCTCGCATGCCGTTCGTTTCAGTTCTGCTGCACGGGCACCACTAGTGAGGTTGCTGCACCACGCTGGACGGTAAGAGATTCCCAGGAGTTGAGGTTGAAGCCCAGTGTTTTGAGGGACGTTTTCAGGCTCTTTGAAGCGTTTCTTCTGTCCCCCAGCGGTACGCTTGCCCTAGCACAGCTCTCCGTAGAGAAGTTGCTTCAGCAGGCGGTTGACTGGCATTCTGATGACATGGCCAGTCCATCTAACTTGCATCTTCTGCAGGAGGGTGAAGATGCTGGGGAGGCTTGCCCACTCTAGGACCTGTGTCTGGAACTTTGTCCTGCCACCTGATGTGGAGGAGTCGACAGAGGCAGCTTGTGTGGAAGTGGTTGAGCTGCTTGCCGTGTCTGCTGTAGTCGGTCCAGGTCTCACAACTGTAGGTCACACACACACACATACATACACACACAGTCGCACAAAAGTCACACACACAGTCACACAAACAGACAGACACACACACACAGTCACACAAACACAGACACTTACACATACATAGATGCACATACACACACAGCAACATAGACACACACACAGATGCACGTTTCCTCAGTGTAAGTGGCTGTGATCATGACAGCCTGCTTAAGGCCTTTTCTTTAATAACTTGTACAGACTGAGGAGCTTATCTATTTATCTTATGGTGATAACATCACGCCTGCCCTCAGACCAGTCACAGCACACAGGCGTTCCCATTCCTCCCAGTAATGATGAGGCCCATGGCAGCAGGAAGGTGGTCGCTGTGAATTACGGCCATAGTCTTCCGGCCGCCCTCCCAGCTCTGCTCGCCGTGGCTTCCCATCCCCCCCCCCCTGAACCCAGGCCACCCCCTCTGCAGGCAGTGCAGCAACAGCAATGGCTGCATAAATTTGCCAAACAGACACTTCTGTTTTTCAGACCCGTTACCAGCTCCCCACTTAAAATGGAGCCTCAGCCTGCCAGCGTCTCCGCTCCACAACATCTGCTCTGCCTGCATTTCTCCAAACAGCTGCATATCAACTAACTCCTGCGTTCAGTCAGGCTGCTGGCTCTCTGCTTCTATTACATTTCTCAGATTCATTATTTTTTAGCACCTATTCCAATGTATACAAATCTGCAAGTCTATAGACCGGAGATGTATTCTTACATGCGGTTACATGACACAAGCTTGGCATTACACACTATGCTGCCCTGTGTTACCTCACTTCCTCAGAGCTGGGGGAGGAGGCTCTGTTACAGGGACACACAGCATGTCTTCTATGCCAAAAAAATAACAAAAAGACGCAGCTTCTCGGTCCTGAACTGTATCTAACAGCATATTATCAATGAATATCAGAGTACATTTCTGGCTATTGCATTTTATTTATTTAAAAATGCTCTAGTGCAAAGCAACATGCATTTTTTTATAAAACAGGCTCAGACGGTCCCTAGAGCAGGGTTCCCTAATTCCAGTCCGACACAGTTTGCAGATTTCCCTGCTGAAACACACCTACTAGATTCAAGATTCAAGATTGTTTATTTGTCACATGTATGTGTAAAGCCTGGCTATGTAAAGCCTGGTTGTGAAAAACATGGCTATGTCAAACCTGGCTGTGTCAAACCTGGCTGTGTCAAACCTGCCCTTGCTTGGAAAAAATCTAAGGAACACCTTTTAAGATGATATTTTTTTAATGATGTTATTCTGGGCAGTGTTTCCTCGAGGAACCACAGATGGTCCACATTTTTGCTCCCTCCCAGCTCCCGGTAGAAAAAACATGGAGTGTCTGCAGGTCCCCGAGGACCAAATTGGGAAACACTGCTTCAGGGTAACAAAAAACATCACTAAATGAAGGAAATGCAACAATTAGTGTTATGCTGTATTTAAGTACAGCTTTTAATAACGATCATGCAGACCTGCCCCTCCAAACCTGTTTGAATAGTTTGTCTCTCACCTAGTAGTGGTCAGTGGTGCCTTAATGGTCAGGGACACACACTTGTAATTGAAAGATTGCAGGTTTAAATCCCCAACCAGCAAGGCACCAGTGAGGTACCCTGAGCAAGGTACCGCCCCCAAGCACTGCTCCCCGGGTGCTGAATTAGCTGCCCCCTGCTGTGTCACGATGTCACATACGGGTTAAATGCAGAGAACACATTTCGTTGTGGCGTGCCAACAATGACAATTAATCACTAAATTCTAATTCTAGAAAATGTGCCCGCTTTATCCAGAAATCTAACAAGTGGGGTCAGCAACATCGCTAACCAAATATGGAGTGCTTCAGTGTTAGTGCCTGTACTGTTTTCTGTATATGAAGAAATTAAATATCAAAGTCAATTTTCATTCCAATACTGTTGACATTCAAATCTATTAATCTCGAATTATTCTATATCTATTTATGATTGAAGACTACTTGTCTTTGAAAAATTCAAACGAGCAACTTAGACAAAGATTTATTATGATCGGAGCTCCACTCCCATGGATTAAATTCCAAATTTGCTGACTCTCGGTATAAGGTATTATCTTTCTGCTCGGCCTGTCATTTGACGAACATTGTCCAAGACATACTTCTCACAGCTAAGAAACACAGCGAAATTTCTAAACTTTCTAAACATCAGTGGCACCAAAAGGTTAACGCATGCTTGTCTGTTGTAGATCAGATTGGACGTACTGGCAGTCCAGGAACGTGGGCTTGTAGTAGAACGTTGGAACTCTCTGCTCGTACTTGGCTTTGGCTGCATTGTTCCCCAAAGCGGTCATCAGCTGGGACAAGGAGAACACAAACAGACACTGCATAAGTGCTTCAGACACTGCATGGAGGGTAACTCCACCCCCCAATCAACACTGCCCCCCCCAAACCCTACACCCCGTCTACAATGTGGAACCCGCCTCACACATGTATGCTTATGTGAGGTAAGACTTACTGATTTAACTTACACTACCCCCAAAATGAATACAGTCTGAATTTAAACACCTGTGGCCATCTCAGGAACCCAAACAAGTGTTGGTCATAAACCAAGGTGGCTGCGCTTTGGCACTGTGCCGACTCATCGTTACAGTATCACGCTAAATGCATGCAACCTCTGTATGGCTGCTAAAAGCCTGTGCTCTCTCTCCGTGCACAGGAAGCATTCTCTGTTCCTGTGTGGAGAGGTGAGAGAAACGGCGCCTCTAAACCCACTATGAGCAGGATGACAATCCACCTTTGCCGGGTAATTACTCAGTTCATGTTTGATTAAATTGATTAGATTAGAGATTGCAGAGAGCGTGCAATAATTTGCAGATTCAAAGCCACCTTCCCCAGTTGTCTTCCTCCTCATTTCCATCTCTGGTCTCCCTTAACAAACCTGAGAAGTACACATCTTAGCAAGGAGTCCTGCCTCCTCTGCCACACCCCTGCTGCACAGCAGATTCTGCGGTCGTTGATCTTTTTCCATCCCCTCATCTGTCACACGCAGCACATCACTCTGTGGAGACTCCACCCCCCCCCAAAACCGCATGCGAACCAGGACTTCCTGAGGTTCATCTGCCGGCCTCTAACTCATCAGATTCTCTTGAGCTTTGGCCATGCTTATGAGTTCCATTATCTACAGGCCATCAGTCACTTGGGGCAGTACTGAAGCATATCCCAGCAGTTGTTGTAGGATAACAGATTAACTGTTGGATGGCCTAGCCCTGTCTGGGTCTCAGCCCTATATACCCCTCAACTAGAATGACTCCACAGCAGAACGGTGAGTCCAAAACCCCACTCACTTACATTCCACGTCACCAAAGCCCTCCACGAATCCGAGCCCCTGAGCCCCATTATTGTCTCAACTCCAAACCCCTTTCCACTCCAAATGCGAACCCGTTTCAGCCTCATCCTGGGCACGTTGCGAGATTACCTTCACCTCCGAGGCATGCCAGGGGTCCATGACCACAGACTTGATCTTGCTGACGTGCGGGATGCTCCTGTGGATGCCAGAACAGTTCTGGCACACGAACACACCCAAGATGAAAGAAGCCCAGGTGGGATCTGTAGGGGAGATGGAGAACAGAGCATGAGAAACATCTGGAAAGGTTGAATAATTTTAAAGTTTGGATCCAGACCCTACAAGGGTGACTGTTCTGTCTTCCATATAATGGGCAGATTGTCTGGAGCAGAAGTTCTGCTGAGTGATGGTGACCCTTAAGATTCATATTGGCAAACAAAATCCTTAGAGTGTGATTAGTGTTAGAGTTAGTTTACAAATCTTTTCATGTAACCTCATAGGTTGAATATATAAATATCCTCAAAATTCATGTATTAATTGACATGTTAATAATACTCAGCATTTTATTAGAATGGATTTGACATCAAACAGACCATTGCACGGAATTGTCCATAGAGCTTTATTCATCTCTGTGGGAAAAATGGGTAGTTTCCAGATATCCCATCTTGCTGTCCATGAGACATACACACACACCCACACACACACACACAGGCGTACCTGCCTAAATGCCGTTTAACAGATTTAACAATTTCTATGGGAGAATCCCTATTCCCTAACCCAACCCTAACCCAACCCTAACCCTAACCCAAACCCAACCCTAACCCTAACCCAACCCTAACCCAACCCTAACTTAAACCATAAGTGACCAAACACAATACAAGACTTGTGGCTATTATAGTTTTTTGATTGCAGTCACAGATTTTTATATAAATTGAATTTCCTCAAAAAAAAGGTCCCCAATAACATCAATATAACAGGATTTTATTAAATTGTGGGAACATTTGGTCCCCACAATGTAATTCATACATAACCCACACATCATTTGAAGCAACTACCCAATGCACCCCTGTATTTGTTGATTTTCTACAAGAATACCATGTTTGGTTAATCAATGCCTCATACATTTTTAAATAATTAAGTGATCGAATGATGAAATTTAACAGAGGCATGGACTGGCTGGGGTGCTGGAACCGAAGAATCTGGGTAAGCTCCGCACCTCCCGACCCTGAAGAGGATAAGCGGTTACAGAAAATGGATGGATGGAATGGCTGGGATGCCCCTGAGGAGAGGCTTGGGGACTGAAGAGGTGTTCATCTAGCCGTCCAGTAAGATATCAGTAAGGAGAACAGAAGAAATTTGTTGCTTTGTATTGTCTTGCTGTGTATTTGCATATATTTTGATTGATTTTAAAACTAACAAAAAACGTAAAACACCAAATGCTAGCTCAATGGTTAGCGCTGCGGCTTCACACCATCAGGTTGTGGGTTTGCATCTCATACACCAAGTTCTCTGTGTGTGTGGGGCTTGCACATCATTCCTTGTGTTAGGTGAATTTCTCATTTTCCCCTTGAGTCTGTGTGTGTGCCCTGTAATGGGCTGACATTCCCCTCGGCTTGCCCCCATTTCACAATATGCCCCCAGCTTCCCACAGGGCCTGTTCCTTTACGTCAGCGTTTCTCATCCGAGTCCTCAGGTATCTCCAGACAAGTTTTTACTTCCTCCCAGCTCCCAGCACACTTGAACCAAGAAATCAAACAATAAAGAACACCAGGCACCCGGTACAAGCGAGCCGGGGGTTCCCGAGGGCCGGGTTCGGGTTGGAAAACACTGCTTTACATAAAGGAGCAGTCTGATCCGCACGCATAGGCTCACCAGGGTCTGGGCCGTACACACTTCTCACCGCCAGCGGTGGCCTGGCCGCCGTCAGAAAGTCCCCGTCCCCCTCAGGGCTCCAAAACTGGTCGCACATGCGATCAAAAATCTATCGAATGCGACATTTTTTCCCCCATTGTTCGCACTGGTGCGCCTAACATTTCGCAAGTTAATCTGTTATTTTTCAGGGTCAGAGCCAAAAAAAAGGCAGATTAGTCCGACTTCTCAAGTTTAGACCAGTGTTTCTGAAACTATACATTTACGAATGTTTTAAAAGGTTATGTTTTTATTAATTGTAAAACCGTTTGTATTTAGTTTAATACTAAATTTATTACATTGTTAATGTACATTTACCTCGATATAGCGATATATTGCATTTATTATAACCGTATATTTAATTTGGTAACAATATTACTAGTTTGCTTAACCTGCAAGATAGTAATCATTATCACCTTGACAAATCAATATTAGGAATTTTCCTTTAACATTATATGCGTTTAATTGCAGGCCTAGATATAATTATCTTACACGTACGTAATCCAGACACGTTTTTTAAAACTTTCCTAATCGTTGTTTATTTTATTGATGTAACCACTAGCTGCCGCAATCGAGCTAAATATAGGCTACATCAATCTAATAAAACATGTCCGTTACACTATCAAGTTAAATGTAAAAGATTTTAAAATGATAATTAATAAAAGCACACATTAAAAAACATTCGTTGATGTAGGCTTATTTCATTAACGCTTGCTGCCGGTATTCAGCTAAGTATACATTAGTAATCTAATAAAACAAGTAATTTTTTAAATAATAATATTGATAACACGTTTAAAGGTACAGTTTCAGAAACATGGTGTAAGAAACACATCCTGTATTATGGCAAGTGTGTGACCAGCGGAGTGCTCCCCCTCCCCCCACCCGCAGCGTCTCAGCGCCAGGCAGCGGCAAACCAAAGCTTTTTCTGTATCTGGGAGCAGCATGTGTACACTTTTGAGTTATGTGACTTTTTTACTTTCAATTTCTTAAGCACTCTAAACATCGGTACTTTTAAGTTTTTTTTATTATTATTACATTTTTGCTATTTTTTGTTTGTGTTGTGTTTCAAATAACGACAATCATGTACCTGCACCTTGATTCCTGTTTACAATCATTTACATAACTATTAAAGTGTATAGGAAATAAAAAAAGGTGACCCTTAAAATGTATTTTTGTGGCGCTAAAGGGGCTGTGAAAAAAATAGGGTGCACTTAAATGAAAAAGATAGGCACATCAGTGCAACCAATGCAAACAGTTAGTCTCGAGCCCTGCCGCTGTACACACGCTACAGAGATTCTGCGCAGAGCAGCGTGCGGTCTGCTTGCCCGGGTGCAGCCGTGAGAGCCTGCGCATGTGCATGTGCGCCGCAAATCGCGTGCATCAGTGTGAGAAAGCGGTGACGGTAGGTGAGTTCTGAGGCCATCAGCAGCTCTTGGAGAGTATTTTGCAGCAACGGTCAAACAGCGTAACAGATTATTAACTGGTAGCATGACCGCTAAAATACACTGGAAATCAATCCACCAAACAAACACACAAGTCTGTAATCCAAACAGTCGGGCTCCACCAAGGAACATCCACATGTTTCCATCATAAACACCTGAGAGTTTACAGCTGGGTCTGCAATTACAGCATAATCCGCAGCCCCTCTCATTTTAGTCTTAAAACTTGCCCCTCCCGTTCCCTCCAGAGACATAAGAGATGAAGTAACTCCTCTGCTAGAGGACAGAAAGAGCAAAACCTTTCAGGTTTCATTAAAATTCACTTGACAGTATCCAGCTGCTTCCTGTAACTTCCACAGGGGACTAAACCTCAGACGTCCAGTCTGTTCTCCACATCACACTATTCGTCTATAGCATGGTTCAAACATGGTACTCCTTATCTGTCTCTGTCTGGGAGGAGGGAGGGAGGATAAGCGTGAGCCTTTCAATGAGGTGCTACCTCCCCTTTTGCCTTTTATCTACATAAAAAAATATTTGAACATTTATATATTTAAATTGGTAAAAATGTGGAAAAAGGCACTAATGTGTATTTTCATATTTCCTTGTCATGTTTTTCAGCTGGTCAGAATGCTCTATGGCAGAGGATCTCAATCCTGTTCCTGCTCACTGCCCCCCACCAGAATGCTCTATGGCAGTGGATCTCAATCCTGTTCCTGCTCACTGCCTCCCACCAGAATGTTTTGATTCCAACGCTACCTTAATGAGGCTCAGATGGTCCTTCATGGGCTAATAATGAATGTGGCAGGTTGAAAGCAATGTGGGTTGGAAAGCATTCTGGTGGGGGGGGGGACACCCCCAGCAGGACGTCAGTCTATAACAGAGCATGTACATATACAAGGAGAAGCTCAGAGACACTTATTCACATAGCAGCACATCATTGGACTGTGGCAGGAATCCATAATAGCTGAAGGAAACCCGTGCATGCGAGCAAAAACATGCAAACTCCACAGCACCCCCAAAAAGGACATAATCAACAAACTACATAAATAAATAAAATGTGCAGAGACCAAGGGAGTACTCCACGAAGCAGGAGTTCTCAGTTAGCTGGGTTAACTTAAGCTAGAAGTCATGGTCGTCAAATAAGTGTTTAGGTAAGAAGCATTCTTATTGGACAATCATCATCGTCCAGTAAGAGTTTAGGTAAGGTACATTCCTATTGGACAATCACCGTTGTCCAATAAGAGTTTAGGTAAGGAGCATTCTTATTGGATAATCATGTCGCCCCACCACCATCTTCAAGCTGAAAACACATGGCCTGTTAACAATTAGGAGAGCACCACTTTGAAGAAAGCAGCACAAGTAGAGATGTGAAAGCTGACCAGTACTGGAGCCTTGCAGCATCTTCACAAGAAACCAGTTTTTATTTAGGAAATCAGGTTTCTGGCTCTGAATCCCAGTAGGACCTCATATGCAATACCTTAAAGCAAGTGTGACGGCCTGATTCTGTGACATTCTCTGGGGGTTCCTTAAACGTGTCTATTCCAGGAACCATATATTCATGGCTCCTGCCTAAATCCATCCATCCAAACTCCACACATGGATCCAGGGTGGAGACTTGAACCCTAGTCCCAGAGGTGTGAGGCACCAGTGCTAACCACTGCATCACCATGTTGCCCCATCCCACCTAAGTATCGCACGTATTAATCTATCATCTATCTAGTACATAGTTATGGCGAACCTGAGGCATATGCCAGGCAGCACACGACACAAGGCAAGGAGACACCCTGGATGGGATGCCAGTTTATTTAGGGACCAGCTTATTAATATCAAATAATTAATAAGCTTCATCACATCAACACAGTATCCAATCCAGTGATGTACCATAAGCCTGCTGTAACTCGTAATTCTGCATCCTTGCTATGACACTGTAATCCTACATATGATTCCTTAAACCCAAAATCTCGATCACACTGATGATGAGAAGGTTTCAGCAGAATGTTTCATATCTGGAGCTGTCACCCCTCCCCTCTCAGCACTACGGCATTCCTCCTCTTTTCAGATTTTCTCTTTTGTTTTCTCTAAGGTCACTTTTTCCATATCACTTGCATGTCATAGTTTTAATCAGCTACTGTCCTTTTACATGAATCTGAGTTCAACCAATTGCAGTTAAGGAACAGAAAGGTTCTCTAGTGTTTTATAAAAAGTTTGCTGCTTAGACTTTGGCCACAAGTGCAGAAAGTCTGAAGCACCAGATGCTTCTGGAGAAATTCAACTGAGCTCTCGGTGCAGCATATTGACCTCTCTGTCACTTCCAGAGCTTTATGTATCAGTCTGAGGCAGGAGCCCCACTGAATGAACTGATAGGAAGAAAAAAGCTTTGGTAGGTAAAACAAAATTATCTGAAGCATGATAAGAGTTAACTTCATTATATAAAATGATATAAATTCATTATCAAAATAAATTTAAAAGAATTGTTTACATACAATGGCTTGTTAAATCTACACTCTTTGAAAGGGTAAAAATTTTGCTGGTCTCTGGGCTGTACCCTCAAGGGTCTGCCAGTTGTACCCTTAGCTATAGCTAAATGTACCTTTTAAGGTACAGAAATGGACTCTGAGGAACATTTCTGTACCATTGATGGTACATCAAAGCTGTTGGTACCTTTGGAATGTTCTTCATTAACTTAAAAGGTAGAATTACAAGGATGCTGCCCCAGTGACAAGCCAAGGTACAATTTATACTCTTTTTTTTCTAAGTGCAAAGAACAGTACAATCCATCCAAAAACGAACACACACCCTAATAATACTGTTGAATCCACATGCATTCTGAAGCCTGGCCCCAGAGATAGTAAAGGTAGATGTGTCGATCTCCTCCTTGAAAACATGCAACAGTTGTGATACTTAACTGACAACTGGGCAGACATTTAAAAAGGATGTTTGCATTAATTTAAAACTTTAGCCCAAATATGACGCAGCAATTCATGTAGAACAGTTCGATTTCAAAGGAAAACGGCCAGGCTTCTTGGGCAAACAGAAATTAACGTTTCCTACTGGCTTCTGTTTCCAGAAGCACAGACTCTCCCCAAAGCAGACGGGACAGGAGTCAGAGATACAGAAGGAGCTCCCAGCTGTCGAGGGCGGCAGGAAATGCACACCGTGGGTGGAGCAGGGTTCCAGTGGAACCGGAGGGTCACTAATCTAATCCCCAAGAAGGCTGCCTGTGGTGTCCGGCGGAGATGGTGAGAAGCTAATGGATTCCCTGCCTGGTTCAGCACAGAGGCAACTTGGGCAATGCAGCGTAATGTGTCTGCAGCTGCTGGATTCTAACCTTGTCAAACTGGCAAATTAATACTAGCAACAAATAATAATAATAATAATAATAATAATAATGACAAGAAACCTCAATAATGAAAATTGTGTGGTTTTTCCACATATTTAAGTGTTATTTAAAAAGTGCCATTTTCTCAATAAACAGTTCAATAATATAATTTTGAAATATCTCCAGAAGAGAAAAGCAGCATTAGTAGTTGGTAAGGTGTACTACCCTAAGCCTGACCCAGAAAAAGATACTCAAGAGCTGTAGGAAGAGAAGAATACATGTATTCAGTGACATAGACCTTATGAAAGCAGACAACACGTGCGCGTGTATAGCTTTAACAGCGTGCTATTCTGTTCACTTCACTTTACTCAGTGTTTCGCCATAACAGCCACTTAAAAGGACTTCTGGCGAGAGATAGTAATGTATCAAGAGTGGGGAGGTGCAACGTGACAGGAAGGCGTATGTACCCTGAAATATCGCGCTTATAGGCTACCTAAAGTCTGCGCTAGAGGCAAGTGGTTTCAAGCGCATTCTAAAACTATACATTTCTTAGTTAAGCTAAAAATTCGTTTCCTCTAATCCCCCACGTAATAACTCACTGCCACATTTCCTGTGACTATTTTTTTCTAGGATGAATTCGCGACGCGTGTGTTAACACCCAGTTTGCAATGGGTGACAGCTACTAAAGGTGACAAGACGGCGACATAAAATGAAATACGAAATACATCCAAGTGCAGTATGTTAGCCCAAACTTCCGGTGCATGCTCATTTCACATCAAAGCCAAGCAGCCTAGAAAGTAGTACCGCCTGACACATAATTCCCGCATGATGCTCCGCGAGTACCAGATCATACAGAGCTAACCGGCGACCTTGCTTACAAAGTACCATGCAAAGTATCCAGTCTGCAAAATCAAATTTAAAGGTGCTTTATTTGCGACTCTACCTGAAGCCCCGCAATCCGCACAGCTCCCGTTACCAGGTCTCGCCAGGAGCTCCAGCAGACGCCGCCTGTTAATCTCCTGCTCGGCGGTCATGATCTTAATCGCTTAGTTTACTGTTTAATGGCAATTAACTTCAAATATGCAATGACTTCACCCAGTAAAAGGCGCTACTTACAGATTAAACGAAATCAAGCGCGGAGGCTGCAAACGAATCGGTTGATTTGAAAATTGTGCTAATAAATTATATAATTTTAAAAGCGGGCACCATGAATAGATATACGAAAAAAGTTAAATTAAGTAATAATAATAAAATACGACCACTGCAGTATATAGTGATATATGACAGCTAAAGTTAAATAATGTTAATCTATATTGGGCCAACCCAATATGAACGCTATGCAGTGAGGACTCTCCCTCCCTCTATGGCTATTTCAGCGTTTCAGCTGAACCTCGCTGCTAAGGACGCCTCCCTCCACCCCCCAACACCATCACCACTTTTTTTTTTTTTGCTGACTCGCGCTTGCACTGCAAAAGCGAGACCTCCAGTGGCGGCGACGGCCGTACTCCACATGGAAGATCCCTTATCTCCCTGCCACATATAGGCACAAAAAGCAACCGTTAACACCTAAGTTTTCACACAATAATAATGATTGAGAACTGCAGTATTTTCTCTCTAGCGCATTCTAAACTCGCCCTCGCGCCTCTCCAGCTCCAAAGCGATCTAGCGCTTTTTACGTGTGCGTTACAATCTGAGAAACTCTGGTTAACCGACAACTATTATACAGATTTATTACGGTTATTTGCGTATCAGTTAATGAAATTGTGGTAACAGAAGCCATTGATTATTGATTTTTTTTTTTTTTTTTTTAAGTTAATTTCAGTTTCTCTTTCTTTTTTAACCAGTGTAAAGGTTTGTAAGTTACTTACCAATAACTATCACCAAGGGCTCGCGCAGACACGGTTCCTTTTCACTAACAAAAGACTCAGAGTCCTCTACTGGTCAAAGTGTTAGTTACTTCTTTTTACTAAGCAGCTTGTTCCTTTTTGGCCACTTTGTTAAGTGGTTTCTAAGTTCACATCAATAAAATATCTCATACATCCATTTTCTGAAACTGCTTGTCCTATTCAGGGTCATGGGGAGGGGGGGAGGGGGGGGCTATCCAAGGTAACATGGGGCCCAAGGAAGGGCTACATCCTGAATGGGGTAGCAGTCCTTTAATTATCTCAGTTTCCTTTGGTACCCATTTATCTTATTCGCCTGCTTGGGGGGGGGGGGGGGGAACCTATCCTGGAGGCTATGGGTACAAATCAAGGAACAGCCCAGGATGGGGCAGCAACTCATGGCAGGGCACGCTCACGCGCCATTCGCTCACGAGCCATTCGCTCACACACATACCTATGGGCAATTTGGAAACTACAATTAACCTCAGCATATCTTTGGTCTGTGGGAGGAAACTTCACAACAAAACTGGGAAAACACACAAACTCCACACACATGGAACCGTGGCAGAGACTCGAACCCGTGTCCCATAGGTGTGAGGTGACAGTGCTAGCCACTGCATCACCATGCCGCCCCTAATACATTCACTTCTTAATTTGTTAGTACAGTACAAAGAATTTACAACGCGAGTCATGCTTCATATTTGTATTTGGAATATTTTTAAGTCTACAACAAAAAAATGATTATTATTACTAGGCCTAATATATACGGAACACAAAGATCTGCTAGAAGAGATAATCAACTTATCCAGTGCCAACTTGTTTTCACAACAAAGACAAAATCTTCAAATCATTAAAATCCTGAATGATCCATTCCCAATTCAATGTCATTACAAATTCTTGTCATTTGTTTTGTCTAATTCTTCATGTGTTGTGATTAAAAGAACGTTACCTAACAACTAAGTGATGTGAGGTACAGTAATAATGCCCAAGTGTGCAGCCCCTCGTGCCGTGTATTCAGTTTGCATGCATTGACTGAAATACATGCTACACATAGACACAAAGGTAATCCTTTATTTTGTAAAACTACAATAAAAACCAGTACATAGTAAAACATTGTTTCCAGATGGGAGGCTAGATGTTAACTATACAATAAACCTCAGATGCACGGGAGGCTCATAATACACCACTTCTAGACGTACAACAGGAAATACGGACCAACTGTGTATAAATGGGGGAATTACATCACTGCCACAAGTCAGTAAGCCTCTGCAGAGGCTCATGAAAATCTGCTGAACGGGCCTATGTACCAGCAGGCCTTCCTGTCACTCTGGATGCAAAAAAGCAGCTCTACCGCGACGAGTTGGAGCTGGAGCGGGAGCGATGGCGGCGGCGGCCTGCGGACCGCGAGCGAGAGCGCCGCCGGACAGGGGACCGGCGCCGTGGTGACCTGGACCTGGAGAAGAGATGATGTACTTTGTCAAAGGTCTTAATTCCTGATAAGGATTTTCCCAGCTTAGCTGACCAAGACGACATTTGCTCATGGGAGTTTTACTTGCACAAAATTGTTCTGAGGGCAGAACGAAAAATGATTGGTTCAGAGAGTTAACCTAATTCACTCTACGATATGATTGTCTCTGGTTATCTCTCTGATCCAATCATTTTTTTGTTCTGCCCTTAGAACATTTTTGTGCAAGTTAAACTCCCATGACCAATGCATTTACCTCCTCCTCATGCGGGGTGGGGTGCGACGCCACACTGGGGGTGGCGGGGGCATCCTCCGCGGGGGCGAGGGCCGACGTGGGCCAAGGCGAACACGGGGAGCCAGCACTGCAGTGGCAGTGATCTCCTGTCCATCAATTTGACCTGCCGGTGATCAGGTAATGTGAGGGGAAAAAGGGCCTCATTGGACACATAATTCCATTTCAATCTGAGCAATAAGCCCAACACATCTATTGTTGTAAAATTATGGGAATTTTCCTTGTTAATTCCTATATATTCCCATTAATTCTCATGGAAAGTTCCCAACTTGGAATATTTCCAAAATTCCCCATCTGAACTTCCCATGGAATGGAAAGTTTCCAGAAACTTTCCACCCCTTTACAACCCTAGGTGTATCACACATCTGAAGTTAAACATGCTTTTGCGTCCCAGGCACAGGTTTCCACTCACCTCCATCCATGTGCTTCAGGGCCTTCTCTGCCTCATCGGCAGTCTCAAACTCCACATAGGCATATCCCTTGGAGAGGTGTGGGTGAAGTCTGTCCACTGGCATGTCAACCATTTTGACCTTGCCGTAGGTCCCGAAGATCTCCTGGATATGATCCTGTGGGGAACAAGAGGCAGCTTCATAAGGGCAGGTAACCAAGCCAGATAACCAGAACCAACACTTCCCTGGTGTAAGGCAGAATTTCCCAATCCGGTCCTTGGGGACACACAGACAGTTCACCTTTTTGCTCCCGCCCAGCTCCAAGAATTGGTAACGACTGGGTCAAGGCAATGCTGCTCACCTTGGTCACATTCCTTGTTAGCCTACCCAAGTGAACCTTGGTGGGCCTCGGGCTTGGGGTCCTCTTCTTTCGCTCCTTTTCATTGGCTCTCCTCAAAGACTTCGATCTGCCACACAAAAAAGACACATCAGGTCTCCCCGACTGGGCGCAGGTTTCTAAAAAGAAGGATCAGAAACATCTAACGTCACTGCCCGACCGCCATCGGCCGGCACGTACTGTGAGCGTGACCTGCGCCGGTTGTCATGGCGCCGGCGATTGGGGCTGGGCGACCCAGAGGAGCTGGACGAGCTGGAGGAACGGGAGGAGCTCGAGGAGCCAGAGTGGCTGGAGGCTGACGATGAGCTGGAACCACTGGAAGAGCCAGAGCTGGAGCCAGAGCTGGTGCTGGACGTGGAGCTGGAGCGAGACCTGAAAAAGTCAGGAACGGCATGCCATATTGGCATGCCCCAACGCATCATCAAAAGACTGCTCTCACAACAGTGTCACAGTCTTCAAGGTATGGACAAAAAACCAAAGGATAAAATATCCGACCTGCTGCTGCTGCTGCCAGTGGAGGCGCTGCGGCGCTTGCGGCCTTTCTCTCTGCCTCTGTCCTTGTCTCCCTCTTTGGGGGCAGTCTTTTCCTTTGCTCGTTCCTTTGCCCTTTCCTCAGAACGATCCTTACGTTTAGTAGGTGATGGAGCCCTAGGGAAGGGGAAGAGTTTCCCAGCTTTCTCAAAAAACATTTTGGACAACTCAACGGCAATTAAATACATAATGCAGCTACCTTAACACCTAAGTTAAGCACGTCGTGAAAGAACGATTATTTCACAATATCATATTTAATTGCATTACTCAGTCATTATTTGCATTTTTGTACTGCTACAGCAGTTATAAACACATGTACACGTTTTATAAACGGTAATCATAATTAAGTGTTAGCACGGAAGTGTTAGCCATTCTCTGAGATTTCCAGTCAATAAATACTAATATAAAACATTAAAAACCATTATTGAGTGAAGCAGAGGTACCAATTATATTACAAATACAAGTAAAGTTTAAATAAAAATAAATGCTTCAGAAAATCCACTGAAATGTATTAATGGCTACAATATCTTCCAACTAGCTAAGTTACACGCTCGCTTCAGACGCCAACTAAAAATACCGCCGTGAATGGATTTCATTCATTAAACATCAATTAAAAACCATCGACTCATCCATGCACTCCTCTAAACATACGTCATAAATACAAAGTAAAAGTGGTATTTTTCATGAGAAAAAAAAAACACAAACGAATACTAAAGGATAAAATATTCAATAGCCTTACATGTTCAACTACCTACGGCGCACACCACAAACAGCCTGCAGGTCCGGCGCACCTTGGTGACGATTTGAGGAAATGACGTTAGAGTTCGGCGCCGAGTTCCTGCCGCAGAAGTGCTGTTTTGAGAATTCGGGTAGTTAGTTAGTTAGCTGAACTGGTGAAGAAGTCGTTATGCACTATAGAAACACCTGACTTGTGTGCACATGATAGAGTCACATAAATATCCGTGTTTAATCTGTAGCGTCCTTTTCCCCGAAGGACAGCTATCCGGTGAGCGACAAAGGGCGAATTGGTAAGTTGACCGTAGGGGACGCATCAGGCAGATTTAAATAGTCTCGTTCGCTGAGTAGTTACGAAATATGAATAATTGCCAACCTGGAGGCACAGACTACTACGCGCCGGATAACGGCTGATCACCAGGCTATCTAGCCAGCGGGCTGTGTTTATTTACAACTTACCATGCAGACATACGTCGTATTTATCTATTAATTCCAAATAAAAGCAAGCCTGTATCACCCATGTGATCAATATATGTAAGTATGTGAAAAGGGCCACTCTGTCACTCTATAGTGTTGATGCTGCCAGAAATCTTAAGCGGCACATTTTGGAATTAGAGTGATTATCGTTAAATTTTCGAGTCAGCATATTGAAATAGTACGGTTAGGGGTTATGCACGGACGACAGGGTCCGTAGTTTCTAGGAATTCAGAATAGTATGATTGCACCCTTAAAAATACTTGCCAGCTGCTACAAGAAAAATATCACAATCGGTAAAACTAATATAAAGACTATTTGTTCAGGTAAAACTCAACGGCTAGTGAGTGTCTGTTGCAGGTTACTCAGTAATATGGATCCCGGCCTCTTTTCTGTATGCCAGGTGGTGTATGTATAGGGAAAAATTAGTAGTCACTGTGTAATGAAGTTTTGTTTGTAATTTCCTTTCTTATAGAATCCTTCACTTTTACCTGGTTACCTTTACAATATCAGAGTCTTTGCAAAATGTACTGAAATGAGATGAAAGTAAAAAATATATTTTAAGTAGTGTGAAATACCAGTAGCATTATTGGGTATGTGTGATCCAGGGTCATGAAGTGCTGAAACACAGCGTTTCTCAGTCCAGTGCCCACGGACCTCCAGACAGTCCACATTTCTGCTCCCTCACAGCACACTGATACCAGGTATCCGCTGTTCTGGGACTGGATTGAGAAACACTGTTGTAGCATGCATATACACTTCTTAGTGGCTATAAGCACATTACATAATTTCAGTTCCGCTTCTCCAGTATAGCTGACCGGTCCAGGAAGAAAAGAGTCGGCCTCCCCCCAGTGAAGTGGTCACTGAGCAGGTCACTGAGCAGACATGGGTCGTCTGGATGATGCTGCCAAGCGGAAGGTGGTGGAGCTGCGAGAGGCGGGGCTCAGCTTCCGGAAAATCAAGGCGGTGCTGGAACTGGAGAACATCAAAGTGTCTGCCCAAGCCATCTACCTGTTTCTGAAGGAGTTCCAGTCAAAGCCCCCATCAGAGCAGGCGGGGGGTGGGAGCGCCGCGGCCACACCTGCGTCTGCAGAAGTGAGTGCCATTGCTGGGCGCTCAGGTGGCTGGACCGACCACCCCATGTGGTCTTTGGTCCGGGAGGCACCCCGTGGTAGTGGGTATGGTCCTCCGGTAGATTCCACATCGCGTGTCGGGACCCCCCAGGCAGTGACGGGAAACCCTCCAGGGCCGTCTGTCGCTGGGGGTAGTAGCGGGATGGCTGTGCAGTCTGGGCGGGAGGCGGGCAAGGATGAGGAGGAAATCCAGATAGTCAGTGTCACCTCGCTGGCCCGCGGGGGCCATCACAGGGGGCTCCAGGCCTCAGGGATGGGGGTGGGGTTAGCAGCAGCCAACGCCAGGCGGAGAGTTGCCCTGTCACCAGCATCCAACCCCACGTTGGCAGCTCGCAAGAGGTTGTTGGACAAAGCCCTGATGCACAAAACTAGGGTGGGTATCCATTTGAGCCATCATTTATTTATCATTTAACTTAATGCGTTCTGTGGAGTCTTGTGCTCTTTCAAGGTCTCTGTCACTTAATACTTCTTTTTGTCCTAAAGATAAGAGAGGCAGTTCCTCAGTCGGACCAGCAGGGGGCGTCGCTGTATAGAAAAGACCCATCCTGCCTCCTGAGTTCTGACGTGAGGAAGCTCACCGTAATGCCTCAGGCTCCCTCTTTCAGCTTGAATTCCCCTCGGCCTCCGCTTGTGGTGAGCACGAGCCAATCTGATCACCCGAACAGCAGACAGTGCAACCTGTAGATCTCCGCAAAAATAATCTTTTCCATTTACTGACCCGGGAACAGGATCAGTACTATGTGAGATTTCAGAAATGTATGCGATTATTGTTAAAAAGTAGTGGTTTTGTGCATAAAAAAAATAATCAGAAGACATGAACATGGTATTTTTACGACTGTGAGCTTAGTTCAAAATTCATCCTTGTTAACTATAAACGTGAAGTAGTTTATGTTTGAACTGAACTTTGAGCTGGTTTTTCTTAAGTGTGAACTTGCACAACATTGTTTATGTGTAATTAATTGAAGATTAATTGAGCATCATGGTTAATTAATCCCTACAGAGGAGCCGCTTTGGGGGGCAGCCTCCCGCCAGCGTCGCTCGACGGATATTCCAGACGAGGGCGGGGGTGTCGGTCCGCTCCATGCACCCCCCCCTGCAAAGAGACCCGTCGTCCTGCCCTGCCGTTCGAGTGGCCAACCCTGTGCCGTCGCCCCCCTCCGCCCAGGCTGCCGGCATGGGTGCGGTGAGGTCACAGCCCGGCCTGCAGGAGCAGGTGCAGACGCTGGGCGTGGAGCTGCGCGGTCTGGGGATGGCAGTGCGGCTGCTGGCGGAGCAGCAGGGCCGCCTGGAGCGAGAGCAGGCCCAGCAGACGCAGGTCCAGAGGCAGATCCTCAGCACGCTCCAGGGAATTGCCTCCAGACTGGCGCCCGGGAAGCAGTCGCACTGCAGCAGGACGCCCCCTCCTCCCGGCCCCCCCACCTATAATCAGGTCCCGTTTGAGCCCCCCTTGAGTAGCTACGCTCAGTGCAGTCCGGCCCATCCCAAGACCTGCGAGTTGGACGGCTTGGCCCAGGAACCCCTGGACGCCTACAAGCTGGCTGGCCTGAGTCCCCGGGGGTCAAACGGTTTTCAGGCATGCAGCAGTACCGACAGCTTCCCCGCGGGTCACACGTCTGCCCAGGTACAGATGCGCACCCTGACGTACACGCAGGGCCAGACTCCGACGTACAGCCAGTCGTATGTGGAAACGCAGAGCCAGGCTCCAGAAGACCATTTCCAGAGCGGCGGCCCGCCCCCTCGGCCTTCCTCCAGCCCCGGGTCCCCTCCTCCTGTCTCATCTCACGACCCCCAGTTGAACATCATTAAAGTGGAGACGCTCTGAATCAGCGGATGGCTGTCTGGCAGGTTCACAGCATAAATGTGGGCAGCTCACCCACCAGAGGTCAGACAAAGGACCCCCTGAGCATTCGGAACCTGGATCTGAGACATGTACAACGCAAGAGCCGAAATGAAGTTTATAATGTAGCGGTGGGTTAGTAGAAGCTTGGATGATGAGAAGTAAAAGGTTTCTCTTTTCAAATCTTTGTCCTAAACCTGCCGACATCAGGGCCTGCATACAAAGCTGGATTGGAGAATCTTGAGAATTGGGAGAATTCCCAGGGGCTGTCCTGGATTGGGAAAAAATGAAATGTTAATGCTAATAGCAGGAGTACTCCAAAGGCCAGGCGGGGGCGTGATATTCCCTGGCTGAAGTGCCACTCCCACCCTGCCTGCCTGTCACAGACAGACAGATCAACACTTACTGTACACATGCATCGCCTCTCACTTTTATATTTCCAAATTTCTGTATTTAACCACCCGTTTATTCTTTTAATGTCAATATTTTTTTCCATCTTAACTGTATTACTGATGAATGCTTTAGTAATAAACATACAACTTACTGAAAAAACAATGTGATATTTATTATTATTGTACTGGAAAGATTCACAGACAATGAAGTAGTGCTATAAGATAAAAATCAATGTTAAATGTTTTTTTTTTTTTAAACAAACACCAAAGAGTACCTGGTCCCCACACATGTAGTTGACATCCTGCGCAGAATCATCCCACATAGGTTACAACCAAGGCTGGACACTGCAGAAGTGAGGAATGTTCATTTACACTGATTCTTATACACTAACAGCTGTCCTGTCTGACACAATGAGCTTTCTTTGGAAATCATTATAGAAGTTGTTACCGATTGTAGCTTTCTCAGTCTCCTGTCATCTGAAATAGGTGTGACATCAACAATAGCCTCAAATTACTCAGAATCTCTTTGTTGGATTGAATGAGCTTGAACCACTGCTTGACTATCACATGACCCTCAAGGTGTGTGACATTAGAGACGTCATCATTTAACCCACTGCCATGAAAGGCTGCCTGTGTGCAATTGCTACACCTGACACACACTGTGGCCTGGTTTGCAATATTCTCGAACAATATTCTGAAAGTAAGCACAATTTCATAGTCTTCTCCAAAATTAACCCCATTTCTGGGTGGGGGGCAAGTATTTAAAATGTACTATGTAATCTGGTCTCTGCTACTCTGAATCTCTGCTACTCTATAGCATCCTCCTGAATCAGATCCCATCCTTGTGGGGGAGGAACTGACATTTCTTCCCTATGTCATAAGGGGGCAGTGTTGGATTGTGGTTACGTTGAAGAGTGTGTATACATTGCTATCATTTCTAGCTCTGAACAGATTAACTGCACTCATTAAGAGGTTCTAATTGTGGTAGTAGCAGGACCCCTGCTTCCTGAGTGTTTGATGAAGATAGTGGAATATTACGAGACGTTACAATTAACGGCAGAGCAACAATTTAATTTACCAAAATTAATCGGGATTGAAGAAGCTGTCAAGGAAGTCAGTAACTATACCTTTTGTTGTGTACGGAGGTAGGGATCTGCCTCTATCACAGCAGAACCAAGCTAAGTAGCCAAACAGCCACTCATGCAGAGATTCCTCTGAATACTAGACACATCTGCAAACAGATCAAAGTAATTCATTGCACAGATTAAAAGCACCTGGCCCTCAGATGGCCCTTTGTGTTTTTTTAGGGTCCTACCACCTCATTGTGCTATCATATCTGCCTATGACCTCTGCTTGCATCCCCCTTTTTCTACTGTAAGTCTTCCTTTAATGTGGTTCAGATTTGTCTGTACTGTAGTTGCTGGCCTTTTGACAATTTTACACTGACGTTTTCTAACAATAAAACAATAAAAAATAATATTTTGAGATTCTGCTTTCTTTGAATTCCGTTAACACTCTGTAATTAAGTTCCAATGGTACTATTTCTGATTTTTTTTCCCCAGTCAAATCAAAAAGGTTAAAATTTAGGTTTGTTAGAATAATTGAATAATGGATTAATCACATTGTATCATTCCATCAATAATCAAAGTGGAACTGAATTGCTTTGGGGTCCAATGATTCACACCCCTAACAGATACAGTATGTAGCAGATAATTTTATCTGTTGTGATTGTTAAAGTCATGTATTTTCTTGCAGTTCAGCTACATAAAAACCATCAAGGTTCAGGAGCATCAAGCCCGGTTTACAGCACACAGTTTATGTGCGGGGGGGGCTGGCGACCAACCCACCAGCTGGAGTGAGGTCCAGATCAGATTCAGACAACCTAGGAGGTGGAGTGAACCTGAACTTCAGCAGGAGCGAGGTGAAGAAGAGGAAGATCTCCATCCTGGCCAGACTCTCTCCAAGGCATACTCTGCGTCCTGGAGAATAGATGTGACAATATTTTGAAAGATACGTGAGGGACAACAATGAGTTTGTTTTCAGGAAGCTAACAAAAGAACTGAACAGAGCTCGTACCAAAGCACAACCTGCACTGTACCTGCAGAGAAGGGCATGAAGGCATCCCTCTTCTTGAACCGACCCTGATCA